ATAAAAAAAATCTTGGGGTAACTTTAGCCAAACAAGTGAAAGACCTGTATGACAAGAACTTCAAGTCTTTGAAGAAGGAAATTGGAGAAGATATCAGAAGATGGAAAGATCTTCCATGCTCATGGATAGGTAGGATTAACAGAGTAAAAATGTCCATCTTACCAAAAGCAATCTACAGATTCAACACGATTTCTATCAAAATCCCAACACAATTCTTTACAGACCTTGAAAGGACAATATTCAACTTCAAATGGAAAAAACAAAAAACTCAGGATAGCTAAAACAATCCTGTACAATAAAAGAACTTCTGGAGGTATAACCACCCTTGATTTCAAGCTGTACTACAGAGCTATATTAATAAAAAAAACTGCATGGTATTGGCATAAAAACAGGTAGATCTATGGAATCGAATCAAAGACCCATACCTATGGACACCTGATTTTTGATAAAGAAGCCAGAAATACACAATGGAAAAAAATAAAGTACCTTCAACAAATGGTGCAGGTCTAACTGGATGTCTACATGTAGAAGAATGCAAATAGATCCATATCTATCACCCTGAACAAAACTCAAGTCAAGTGGATCAAAGACCTCAACATAAAACTGGATACACTGAACCTGATAGAAGAGAAAGTGGGAAATAGCCTTGAACAAATTGGCACAGGGGACAACTTCATGAACAGAACACCCATAGCACAGGCACTAAGATCAACACTTAATAAATGGGACTTCATGAAACTGAAAAGCTTCTTCTGTAAGGCAAAGGACACTGTCAATAGGACAAAAAGGCAGCAAATAAAATGGGAAAAGATTTTCACCAACTCCACATCTGACAGAGGACTAATTCCCAAAATATATAAAGAACTCAAGAAACTAGACATCAATAAACTAAATAATCTAACTTAAAAATGGGGTACAGATCTAAACAGAGAATTCTCCATAGAGGAATTTCAAATGGCCAAGAAACACTTAAAGAAATGTTCAACATCCTTAGCCATCAGGGAAATGCAAATGAAAACGACTTTGAGATTTCATCTTACACATGTCAGAATGGCTAAGATCAAAAACACAAATGACAACTCATACTGGCAAGGATATGGAGCAAGGGGAACACTCCTCCACTGCTGGTGGGAGTGCAAACTTGTACAGTCACTTTGGAAATCAACATGGCAGTTTCTCAGAAACTTGAGAGTCAATCTTCCTCAAGACCCAGTTATACCACTCCTGGACATATACCCAAAGGATGCTCCATCATACCACAAGGACTCTTGCTCAACTATGTTCATAGCAGCTTTATTCAAAAATAGTCCAAAACTGGAAACAACCTAGATGTACCTCAACTGAAGAATGGATAAGAAAATGTGGTATGTTTACACAATGGAGTATTACTCGGCTGTTAAAAACAATAACATCATGAAATTTTCAGGCAAATGGATGGAACATGAAAAAAATCATCCTCTGTGAAGTAACCCAGATGAAGAAAGACAAACATTGTATGTACTCACTTATAAGTGGATATTAGCTGTAAAGTAAAAAATATTATGCTACAGTCCACAGACCCAAAGAGGCTAAGTAACAAGGAGGGCTCAAGAGGGAATGCAAGGCTCTCCCTGGGAAGGGGAAACAGAACAGATTTCGTAGGTGGACTGGGGGCAGGTTAGATTGGGAACAGAAGGGATTAAGTTGGGTGGGGAAGTAAATACTGGGAAAAATGACTGGAATTGCAGGGTGGGCATTTCAGGGGCAAGGCGGAAACCTAGTGCAAAGGAAACTCCATGGAATCTACGAGAGGAACCCTAGCAAAGACTGCTAGTAATAGGTGACCCAGCGCCTGAACCAGCCATCTTCTGTAAGTAAGCATGACCTCAAGTGGAGGGATTGGGACACCAACCCAGCCACAAAACCTTCAACCTACAGCTTGCTGTGCCTGCAGAGTGTTCTGTAACTGGAGCCTAGCAGAATCCTCAGGGAAGAGAGCAGAGAGACCTCACCCAGCAATTGACAGAAGGATATGCAGAGTCCCACAGCCAACCATTAGGCAGACTTGGGGAGGAGAAGGAGGAGGAGGAGGAGGAAGAGGAAGGATTGGAGGAACCAGAGGAGTCAGGGACACCACAAGAACTCAGCCCACAGAATCAGTTGACCGGAACTCATGGGGGCTCACAGAGATCAGGGAACCTGTAGGGGTCTGACCTAGGTCCTCTGCATGTATGCTATGGCTGAGTAGCTTAGTATTCTTGTGGGATTCCTAACTGCGGGAGTGGAGGCAGTTGTTGACTCTTTTGCCTTGATTTGATAATATGTGCCTGGTCTTATAGTAGTGTATTATGTTTGGTTGATGTCCCTGGGAAGCCTGCTCTTTTCTGAGGGGAGACAGAGGGAGGGTGACCTGGAGGAGAGGGGAGCTGTGAGGGAGAGACAGGAGGGAGGGGAGGGGGGAAAGTGTGATCTGGATGTAATACATGAGAGAAAACTTAAAAAAAAAAAAACTGACCCATGCATTCATGTTTGAACCTGTTTCGATTATCTCCAAAAAGAGTAAGGAGCAATCTCCGGGAACGAGGGCTGGAGTCTGAGGCAGAAGCAAGCCACTTCCCGTCCATGTGGCCCAAATTTCCCTGGCAGGTCTGTGGCTCTGTAGGAGAATGAGAGGAACTGGAGAGACCTGAACTTACACATACACACCCATACCCACACTCATATACACACCACACAGACACTCACAGACAGATACATACACACACACAGACACACACTCACACACAGACACACACATCACACACATACACATACTCACATACAGATATACACACACACATACACATACTCACATACAGATACACACACATACACACACACACACACACACACACACACACACACACACACACACATCAACTGAAGCAGAATCGTGGTGCTGAAGTGCCTCTGGCCTTCTGCAGGCCACAGGGTGGGCTCGACCTGGCTGCTGGCTCACTGTCCTCTCTGAAGCTGGAATTCCTTTGCTGCTGTAGCTGGGTGGGAGGAGTCCAGGGCCCTGCCAATGGGTACAGATCACGGAGACCCCTCGAGTGAAAGGGGGTCCTACAACAGAGACTCGGGTCACAGTCACTCATTGCACACAGGATACGTATCCAAAGGTGTTCACAGGCAGGTGAGGAGTGGGAAGAAAGGGCTCAAACAAGGACCCAGAGTTCCAAGAGGCCGAGGACCCAGGCATGGACCAGGAGGGGCTGAACTCCTTGGAGAATCAGGGGGTAGCAGCAGAATCTCACCATCACATTTGAGCCTCCTGAGGTAGAGCAGAGCTGGGAAGGAGGGCAGGAACAGAGGAGCTCTGAGACCCACGGGAGCAACCAAGAAAGAGCTGAGAGAGGGGGGTCTAGGGACCTGCTGGCTTCGTGGCAGCAACCCCTGTGGTCACCCATGTTTACAACTGCAGTCATCATCTTGAAATTCTCCATGGTTTTCCCTTTGAGCCTGTGTCTCCAAGGACAGCGGTGCACAGGCAAGAAAAACAGCCAGCCAGAATGACAGTCAATAAGAGGACACAGAGTGCACTGGGTCTGGCTCCATGTGCAGAGCCCCAGGGAGATACAGATAGAAAAGAGCTCTGGCTCCCGCGACACAAGGCCTTCTGGGAAACTCAAGCAGCCAAGAAACCCTGGCCAGCCCTTTCCTGGTGGCCCTCATTCTGCGCCAGCAAAGGCGGAAATAAGAACAGGAGTTAGAAGCTGGGCCTTGGCAGAGCAAAAGTGTGACTTAGACTTGAATAGCATGAGCATGGCCACGGCCTGACAGTGGCCTAAACATGAGAATTCCATGACTAGATAGAACGACAATGCGTTTATGTGCCTTCTGTGGAACTCTGGCACACACAGAGGCCCGAAGCACTGGCGACTGCCGCCAGGCCAGTAAACCTCAAAAGCATGCTCCATAATAAAAGTCACATTCAACAGGCTGCACACTGCCAGATCCCATTTACATGGCATGGCCAGAACAGACCAACGCAGAAGCAGAGAGCAGAGTGGCAGTTGCCAAGGTCTGAGGGCTCAGGGGACTAACAAGAGACCTCTGGGAGGCACAGGCTTTCCTTTGGGGCTGGTAGAAATGGCCTGGAATGAGAGCTTGAGGTTACAGGCTGAGAGAGCTTCCCCTGAGACCTTATATTCAAAGCTGAGAGGCCACAGGCCACCAGTGACGAACCCGGGCCAGACAGAGGAGTATGGCCTGCACCACAGGCTGGCGGTGACAGCCAGTAAGCACACAGTCACTCCGGGTGACTTCCCTGCCGGAGAATCAAGGAAATGTCCCAAGAGCAATGGGGGCACAGTGCCCAGCAGGACATCCCATCCTGGCCCATGACACACTTGGCGCAGTATGGACCCTTCTGGGAATCGGCCCTTCCGATGTGCGCTCCACAGGCAGCTTCTTCTTGATGTCCTGTCCTATACTCTGCAAGGAGCCAGTGTCTCCTCATTCTTATAGAAAATTGCAGAAAACTCTAGAAAAGCACCCGGAGAGTAAGTCAGCCTCTGAGGTAGCCCTAGACCCTGAGGCTTGCTCGACACCGCCTGTCCTGTTGCCTATGTGACGAATTTGGAGCTCAGAATGTCCTTTGATTATAAAGGGTTCCAACCCAAAGATTCAAAGTGACACTTTCACATTTGTTACGAGTCCTATGTCTTCCTTCTCTGCTCCTTAATTTTCTTTATTTTCATAATATGTATTACATTTTAAATGGAAGAAAATGATCACCCTTACAAAGGACTTTAAAAAAAACTGTGGCCTCGAGTTGTGGCCCTCGCTCCTGGCAGCCTGGGCCTGCTCAGTCCATGTGTCCAAGAAGGAAGTGTTTTAGTCCATCTAGGGCGATGCCAGCCTGCCCCTCCACCCCCGCCCCTTAAGTCTTCCTCCTGCAGGTCCTTTAAATGCGTCGCAGGCACTCAGGCTGCCATCCGTCACCTGCCCGCCATCGTCACCTGCCTGCCATCGTCACCATGCGCTGCTTCATCAGCCTTGCTCTCGGTCTGCTGGCCCTGGAGGTGGCCCTTGCTCAGAATCCACTGGAAGGAGTCTTCAACACAGGTAGGCCCCAGCTGGTCACCTCACTGCTGGTCAGGAAGGCCCCAGCTGGTCACCTCACTGCTGGTCAGGAAGGCCCCAGCTGGTCACCTCACTGCTGTAAGTGGCCTGGAGAGTCCCCCAGATTGTTCCCAGCTCTCTATGCCCAGGGCAATGAAGAGGTGAGGAACAAATGTCTCCCCTTGGGGAAAATCCAAAGATGGCAGAAAATCAGGACCCTGTGTGGAAAATGTCCAGGTTGAGAGATGGGTTGATGGGAGTTGCCCTCAGGCCCTGGTCATTTCTAGTCAGGTCCTTAATGCTCTGCCTATGACCATGAGCCTGTGACATGCTTCTTAATTTTCACAGCTGACTTCTTATGCATCTATCACCCAGGCCACAACCCTGGCAGATTTTCACCTTTAACGCTGCTCGGAGTCTGGGTTTCTTATCGTTTCCCTCCACATCTCCAGGCCTTCTTCTGAGAAGAAGCGACAGCTAGGCCCTGATTTACCTCCCCGTCTTTTGTGCAGTTCAGCTCATGTGTCCTGAAGCCTGCCTCAGTAAGAACGCAGAGTGTATCAACTGTCGCACCATCGCGGAGTGTGCCCAGAATGCTGCGTGTTGTCCCAGTTCCTGTAGCGCTATCTGCAAAACTCTTGTCAACAGTAAGGCCCTGCCCGGTCCTGGGGGTCTGGGGGAGGAGCCAGCAGGGTCAAGAGTCTGCCTGAAGAGGACACACAGACCTTTGCACCCCCACACACTAACTCTGTGGGACCCACTCACCTGCCAGACCCTCCCTCTTCTGGCCAACCTGGTCCCTGGGGTCTCTGGGTTACCAAGGGCACTGCCTGACAGCCAGAGCAAAGACCTCAGCAGATGCCCCATGCACAAAAATGGGGTCTTTTCAGCCAGGGGTTCACTAAGGTGGATTCAGCAAAGCTGGGGCATGAAAGGGATTTGGGTGGTAAGAGAGTGACCATCTCTCCCCAGCTGATGTGCCAAAGATGGGCCACTGCCCCTGGAATCCAGTCAACATGATCCCTGCTGAGCTATGTCTGCAGAAGAGCACATGCTTCAGAGACAGTGATTGTAGCGGCGACATGAAATGCTGCCGCGTCGGCTGTGCCATGAGTTGTCAAACTCCACAGGCAGGTATGCAGCCTTGAGACCCTGCAGGCAGTCCCATTCCTCTCTAGGCCTCCTCTGGCCGTCACCTTGCCCCTCATCAGGCCCAAGAACAGGTAGACCGTGAGAACAGCCCCAGGACTAGGTCCCAGACTAGGAGGAGAATGTCTTGGCCGAGCCACATACACCACCTTCAGGCTTATGGGTACTTGACGTGGCTACTCACGATAGGAATGAGGGTCAATGAGCAAGGCCTGGGGAAACAGACCATCCTACCACTCAAAGCTGGTCCTGGTGAGTTTATGAGCCACGCTGGACCTTTCACAGTTAACCTGAGGTAGCAGTGAAGTGTTCAGAGTTAAGAACATGAGCAAGATACAGGCTCAAATCCAACTGTCCATGTCTACCTGTGACCTGGGCATCCATCCCCCTTGTAGGTGAGGGTGTCTCACCCACCTGCCTATCAGTGATGGGGGGGGGGGGCAGTGTAAAGAATTGTACATGCTCACCTGCAAAGCCAATCAAAGTGGCTGCCCTTCAGGTCCCAAGAATGATGGGTACGACTAGGTTAGAAGCAGAGGTAACCCCCTCTCTCTTCATCCCCACCCACAGCCCCTGTAGAGGAATCCCTTCAGTGAGCAGCCTGCCCTGGGATCCCTGCCTGCCAGGTGCAACCAGCCCAAGCTTGTTCAGCAAGAACCTTCATTCCTGGATCCAGAGAGAACATAATGCCTTCTATCTGCTGCTAATAAAAATCCATTTGGCTCTATGTCTCTGTCTGTCTGTCTGTCTGTCTGTCTATCCTGAGCTCCTGAAGGAATGACAAAGCAAGCATAGGCCTGCCTTACCCGAGGATCTCCAGGGTGGAGAGGCAGTCACAGGTCATTCCTCAGTGGTGATGAGTATGCATGGGAGGGTGGGAAGCTGAGTCAGGCTTGCTGAGCCACGGCCAAACTCCATCACTACTGTGGTACCACAGTGGATCTCAGGACCAGAAAAGGCCTCCCTCACCTGGCGCCAGGGTCATGAGCTAGGTCTTCTCCATCTGAACCCTTCTAAGATGTGACCAACTCTAGCTAGCCTCAGGACAGGACAGAAAGCCGAGTCTGCAAGGGACTTCAAGGCCCTGAAGCCTTAGTTAAGTGGCAGCAGGGAGTGAGCGAGGCACAGCAGTGGAGTGCGCAGGACAAGGCCGGCCACACACTGACACAGCTCCAAGCCAGCCCCGTGGAGAGTCTAAGCGAGGTGTGTGCGCCCTGCTCAGACACAAGCAGCGTAACTCAGAGCTCATGCCGATCCTGACACTGTCAGCCTGGGTTCACATCAGATGCCACAAGTTAGGGGTTCAGTTCCGACCTCAGCTACCAGCTCCACGTCTAGAGCCTCCCGCACTCCTGATTCAGTCACTTCCACTGTCCCTTTGTAAGTGTTTTGGCAGAAGCAGAGATGTTCTAAAGAGACACTCTTGGCTATCAGGCTTCTGAGACCATGGATGTCAAGGACTGGCATTTTTTCAGGAGTCTCACTCTGGGCAGAGCTGAAGCTCTGGTCCAGTCAGGGGAGGAAGCTGCCTCCTGCACTAGTTGATTGGTTTGGTTTGGTTTGTCAACTTGACCCAAGCCATGGTGCTGTGGGATGTTCTGTATGGCAAATGTGTTGCTCTAATTGGTCAATAAATAAATCACTGATTGGCCATTGGCTAGGCAGGAAGTGTAGGCGGGACAAGGAGGAGAATAAAGCTGGAAAGTGGAAGGCTGAGTCAGAGAGACACTGCCAGCCGCCACGATGACAAACAGCATGTGAAGATGCCGGTAAGCCACGAGCCACGTGGCAAGGTATAGATTAATGGAAATGGATTAATTTAAGCTGTAAGAACAGTTAGCAAGAAGCCTGCCACGGCCATACAGTTTGTAAGCAATATAAGTCTCTGTGTTTACTTGGTTGGGTCTGAGTGGCTGTGGGACTGGCAGGTGATAGAGATTTGTCCTGACTGTGGGCCAGGCAGGAAAACTCTAGCTACACCATGGTCAGCTAGAAAGAGGGAACCTTATTTGAGATTCCCTCAGACTGGCCCGTACACATGTCTGTGGGGCATCTTCCTGATTAGTAATTGATGTGGGAGGGCCCAGCTCACTATGGGTGGTGCCAGCCTAGGCAGGTGGCCCTGGGGTGTATAAAAACAGACTAAACAAGTCAGGGTGAGCAAGCCAGGAAGCATTCCTCCATGGTCTCTGCTTCAGTTCCCCCCTTGAATTCCTGCCCTGACTTCCCTTCACTACAACTGTAAACTGAAATCAGCCCTTTCCTCCCACCAAGTAGCTTTTGATCAGGACCTTTCTCACAGCAACACAAACTTCACAAGAGGAGATTTCACATGGTGCTGACAGCTACCAGAGACAATGATGAGTCAGTGATGGACAGCACCGATTCTTGACCAGGACGGCTGGGGTGTGCATACCTCTTGCCCCCATGGAAGCCTAAAGCTCATTTCAGGACCTCAAAGGCGGACCTGTGGAGTCAATGGGCCTCTTCATTTGTTCCTCTTCTCAGTGTGGTCTCACTGAATAAACCTCCTTTCTCTGGTTTTCACTACAAAATGGCGCTTTAATTGCTGTGCAGGTGGCTAAGCCTAGCTTGTTAGGGCTGCCAGAGCCCAGGCTTTGACACTAACTACTCCAGAAATAGCTTCAAGTTATATAAGTCATTAGAATGATTCACAGAAGTCACTACAAACACCTACCTTACAGATATGCATTTGTCATGAAGGACACAGATCAGGAGTAACCAGATTGTCATAGTTAATGTTCTATTGCTGTGAATAGACACTGTGACCACGACATTGCTTATACAGGAAAACATTTAACTGGGGCTGGCTTACAGTTTCAGAGGTTTAGTCCATTATCATCATGGTGGAAAGCATAGTGGTACTCAGGCAGACATGGTGCTGGAGAAGGAGCTGGGAATTCTACATCTGGATCGGCAGGCAGCAGGAAGAGAGAACGACACTGGGCCTGGCTTGGGCTTCTGAGACACCAAAGCCTAGTGGCACACTTCCTCCAACAAGGCCACACCTCCTAATCCCTGTCAAGTGGTGTCAGTCCCTTATGATCAAGCATCCAAACATATGAGCCCACAGGGGTGGGGGTGGGGTCTTCTTATTCAAAATACCACACAGATGAAGGGACATAGGGTGGGGACAAGAAGTGGAAGATGTAGGAATGTCTTTTCCTATGGGACAGACACCTACCAAACACAGCAGGAGTTCTCCTATGCATCCATGTCCAGAGCTTTCAGGAAGGTTTCATTACATAATCACTGACTGTTGGTGGCTGAATTCAATCACCTACCCCTTTCTCTTACCTGGAGGTCATGAGTAGATCTGGGAGGTCCAGCCCACTAACCCTGTGCCTGGTCTTTGTGGTAACCAGCCCCATCTGAACCTACAGAAGCCCCCATGTGACCAGCCCCCATTTGAAGCCATGGAAACCACCATCTGAAGGCCCTTATATTGGGAAAATAATCATCTTGATGTCACACAGAGGAATACACAAAAGAACCAAAAGCAATTCAGCAAGGCAATTTCTTTTTGCAAAAAGAAATGTGTGTCAGAACCCAGACCAGGCTGGAAAGCACTCTTGGCCAAAATGGCCTCTGTCTTTCATCTCTGGTGGTGACCTCTGGTCACTGTGTTCGTCCCATTGGTGGGAGCTCAACTTCACAACTGACTGGCTTGCATTCTGATGCAATCAGCTAGTGCGTATAAAGAGGAAGGAGGGGACTCAGGAAATATGAGTCTTTGTTAGGCTAATTCGGTAGGAAAACATAAATCAAAAATGTTTCTCATACCCGTCTGTACTGGCTGGTTCTGTGTGTCAACTTGACACAAGCTAGAGTGTTGGAGCCCACAAAGGTTTCCTAGTGAGATCTGAGCTTGCTTTACCAGTAGGGCTGCGTAACAGAATGATTGGACCATGGGCCTGGCTACCAGGTGTTTGGTAGGGTCTACACTTGGCGGTATCTAGCAAGGAGAGCAGTCTTTTGCCTTACCCTTTGGCATTGTTATAAAAAGCCCTTTTGAATAAAGTTCTGGGCCAGTGGATTAGGACCCAGGCCCTCCCAAGGAGATCCTGTGTTTCTATCTGTCTCTCTCTCCCCTCTATATTTCTATCTAAATCTCTTATCCCTCACTCCTCAAGAGTACACTGGGGGAAAGAGGTGGGGGTACACTAGAGTCATTAGAGGGGAAGGAGCCTCAGTTGAGGAAATGCCTCCATGAGATCCAACTCCAAGGCATTTTCTCAATTAGTGATCAATGGGGCACAGCCCAGCCCATGGTGGGTGGTGCCATCCCAAGGGCTGGTGATCTTGGGTTCTAAGAAAGCAAACTGAGCAAGCCAGGGGAAGCATGCCAGTAAGCAGCATCCCTCCATGACTTCTGCATCAGCTCCTGCTTCCAGGTTCTCTGCCTGCTTGAGTTCTCGTTCTGACTTCCTCCGATGATGGACTATGATCTGAAAGTATAAGCCAAATAAACCCTTTCCTTCCCAACTTGCTTTATGATCATGGTGTTTTAATGCAACAATAGAAAACCTAACTAAGACACCATGTGAAGCTATAATTTGACAGCATTCTCAAATGAATTGGGTCAGACTAGAGTAGTATTTTATAGCAGTTTCCTCTGAGATAAAACCCTCTGTCTTGGAGAGAAGCTTATAAAGGCACAGAGTTTTCTAAAGGGGATGGGTGTGGCTAAAACATTCCATCCTGCAGAGAAGTTAGTTAAAACTCAAGAAGTAAACAACTCAAAAGTTTCAGGAAGTCCCTGAAACTGAAAACATGTTCTAGGTCCCTCCCTCTCCAAATTTATGTAAGCAGTAAGAACTGCTGAAAGACACTCTCAGACCAGCAAGCTGCATAGAAGACACTCAGAACAAGCAGTGTGCTCCAGGTTTCCAGTTTTCATGAGCCATTACCCATACAGAGTGGGCTTTTGGTAATTAAGTTGTCTTAAAGTCATTTCTGCTCCT